TTGGTTGCCGTTTCAAATGCCTATGTTTGGGCCTAAACATCATTATTTATATATTTGAACTTGGGTTTAAAATTTGGCTAAAAAATAACCCTGTATGTAAAATAAAATTGTACTCCTTTGTTCATTAATAGTTTCTGCTTATAAAAAATAAGATTATAATATACAAAAATCTTTATGTTATAACTTTTGAGTAACAAGGAAGGATTAAGTCCGCTAATGGTACGTCGAAATACTAAAAAATGTTAAATACATAATATTGTTAATTGACAAGCTGACTCCACAATTTAATTCGGATAAACCCTGCTAAGATAGGACATTGATCCGAAATCAAAATCCGGAATCCCAAATTCTCGTAAAAGAATACAGTGGAAAAGCTACTATAATAACATGTTAACTGCAGCATCTTTTGATATGTTTCAATAGTATTTTTATATTGATAATTAAATATTAAATACTATTATATATATATAAAATGTTTGAACAACAAACTTGAGGGTGAGAGCTTGTTACTTATTTCATATATATCGGAAATGACAACAGGAGATCCCACTTCTGATGTCGGAGATTACAATAGAGGATCGCAATTTTGATCTCTGAGATACATCAGGATAGCGTTAATTGTTAAAAATAATAAATGTGTGAGAGCGGATGTTCAACTTGCTCTCTTGCTTAGGCAGTTAATCATTATCAGTAATAAGACAGCGTAACGCACTATACATCCAATATAGTGAAATTACAGTTCGACCACACCGTAACACGTCTCCGCCACAATCACACACCAGTGTAACGTGAGGTACGTAATTACATGATAACACCAAAATATGTAAACCAACAGCAACACTACTTATCTCAATGTAACACTGGACAACATCTCAGCAACACCAATCCTCCTTGTCTGCACTAGAAGAATTACAACAACGAACAGAACCACGACACTATCTTAGCGCTAGTAGAGTGACCACACTCGTTGAATGACTTTAGCGGAATCTCCAGCGCACGGCACCTACAGTGAACTTTATACTGCACAAACAAGTGGGAGTTTCTCGATATACCCTCATGTCCATCTCGATCCAAGTGATATTTTATATACGCTCCGACATATATATATATATATATATATATAATAATAATAATAAACGAACCTCGTTAAAGCCGAAACAGATAAGCGAACAAAATATCTGAACCTGGCTCACGAGGTGACCGACATGTGGGGTGGACTGCCGACGGAAATTATACCCGTAGTCGTTTCTGCGAACGAGCTAATGCCAGTCAGCCTCTCGGGTCTTCTGAGGCAACTGGGACTCCGTGACGGACCGCTGCTAGCTCAAATGCAGAAGGCGGTGCTTGCATCGTCCAACAGTTTCTTTCCCTTCCCGCATAACCCTCAGCCGTTTGGTCTGCCGAGGGCTGCCGTCTGTTTGGGTTTTTATTTATTTTATTTTATTGATATTTATGTATGTTTATCATTTTTATTTACAACTATACAGCCCAAACAGATGAGAAAACTTTATAGATACCCCAAAAATAATAATAAATAATAATGTTCTCCAGAACGAATCCTCACTCTCGTATTACGAAGGGACGGTAATACGACACGACCGGAAAAAAATCAGGCGCAGGATCAATGGCTTTTCGTGCCACCGAAAATTTCTTGTCAGACAAACCCAATAACTGATTTTGACCTCAGCCGAGATTCGAACCCGGGATCTCGCGTCGCGTTTGCGACCACTAGATCAAAGAAGCAGCCATTCAAATATGATAATACCACCTTGTGCCATTAGCACTTATTAAATTGGTTTCGCATAAACTGAGGTTTTTTATAAATCGATAATGAAGTGCTATAAAAGATCTCCAAAATATCGATGCGGTTTATAATATGTTCAGTATTTTTTTAGTTTTTATGTCAGTTTATAACTCGATAATCATTCAATTTAGGTAAACAGTTCTTTTTGCAAATTAGTTTCTCGTAAACGGCTCACATAAGTTGTATGAAATTTTATATTTCCAATAATAGACATGTATTTTTTTATAAGATAAGTGTGATAAGCGAGCACACAGTCCACCTGTCGGCAAGTGGATGCTGTGGCCCATAGACATCTACATCTATCCTCGATTACAAATGAAAATGCAGATGCGTTGTCATCTGTGAGGATTAAGATGGAATGCTTGGTTTCAGTAAAAAGGGTCTCCGATTCTCTACACTTCATCATTACAGCCTTTCATAAGTCCACTGCTGAACATAGGCCTCCCCAAAGGAATGCCACAAAGCACGGTCCTGAGCCACCTACATCCATTGACTTCCTGCATGTCTTACCAGGTCGTCACTCCATCTCGTGGGGGATCGCCCTACACTTTGCCTACCGGTACGAGGCTGCCACTTGAGAACTTGAGAGATAGGATAGTTTTTATCCCGATAAGTCATCATCATCATCATTACAGCCTTTCACAAGTCCACTGCTAAACATAGGCCTCCCCCAAGGAATGCCACAAAGCACGGTCCTGAGCCACCTGCATCCATCGACTTCCTGTATGTCTTACCAGGTTGTCACACCATCTCGTGGGGGGTCGCTCTACACTTCGCCTACCAGTACGAGGCTGCTACTCAAGAACCTTTCTTCCCCATGGATTGTCGGTTCTTCGAGCTATATGGCCGCCTCACTGCCACTTCAGCTTACCTATCCGTTGGGCTATGTCGGTTACTCTGGTTCTACTGCGGATATCCTCGTAGACACGTCTCAGATCCGTAAGTTATCGCTCGCTTCATGCACTGGTTGTACAATTTCGTTTTAAAGTTTTGAGGTATGTCTAACGAGAAAATGTGTCATAGTTTCCCGAACGCTGCCCAGCTGAGTTGAATCGAGACGAGACAAGATTGTCGAAATTGTTATGTAATCATTTTTGTTTTCAAATAATTGAAGGAGCCTAGCGCCATGTGTTAGTTTAATGAATAATTACTTGGTCTACCACGTAACTAATGTACGCAACAAAATAAATTAAACAAATATGTGATTATGAGAATTAACAATGAGATTATGAACAATGATTAAATACTAGAATTACTAGTAGATAGTAGTAAAGTTATTAAGAATTAGTATGATTTTAACTAAGTTCGTTTCATAACTATAAAATTTAACTATTTAGAATTGCATCTGTGTGTGACTAAAAGAAATAAACAAAGCAATTATTAAGACTGAAATTAACGTTAAAGTTATTTAATTTTCTGTTCAATTGTTTAATAAATGTTAATTTTTACAAAAAATTGCCTCTTTTTAATACGTTTCACCAGAAATTAACTCAATTAAAATTCTTCAAAAAAGGCTTACCCAATACCCATCTTAAAAAAAAAACAAAAATGTTTTTAGTCTCGAATTCCCGGGAATTCCCGGAACTTTGATTATAGGTTGTCCCGTGTCCCGGGATTTTGAAATTGTCGGGAACTCCCAAACCATAACCTGAACCGATGAAACGATTTTATTTTATTTTTCGTTTGAAAGGCGTGTTAATCGAGAGTATTCATAGTTATATTTCAAGAAGATCCGGTCGGCCGCTTGAAGATCGCCAGCTCTTTTTTTTTTCAGGGTTATTTTTTTTTATTTAAGTTATTAATTAAAAGTACTAATTTTCTAGATATAAATGACTTATCCCTGAATGTAAAATTGTCTAACGCCGAGCAAAGCACCGTCGCTTTAGGTACTATACATTAAATCCACCAGAAAGATCACTAGTACAACTTATTCAATGAAGGAATCACGATTACTTTGTTTCATTCAACCTTTTTAACAAAACCATTAATATGTTAGTGACGTCTGGTATCCATAGCTGTAAAACTGAGACCAGAATATAAATTTATAGTTGACTCACACGTTAGAATTTATTTGTATTAATAATTTTAATCCTTAACTAGTTCATATCGAACAAGAAATGTAAAGGTAATTATTAAATAACTGACTTTATAACTTACTTTATTTGCAGTTAAATTATTAGTTCAAAGATCAGCATAAATTTAATGTAATATAAGTGTCCATACACTTTAAGACGATTTTGTACAGTTTAATATCGAAATTACGCAAAGGTATGTGCGATGACGCGAGATAGACCCGATGCGGTTGGTTTCGTGTCTTCTTATGAGAACACCCTTCACGCCAGAGTGCACATGCACAGAAAAGGCGGTAGAAAGGAAACCCGGAGATGGGTTTTGCAGGACTCTTATTGCATAATAATTAGAGAATCTCATAACGTTAGGTGGTAGTGCAAAAGCGGCGCGAATAAGTAATAATAAAACTAAAAACGAAAATTGTCATACAGTCGGACACCCCGTGGTATAATGCCTAAATATTTATTCGTTCATTCATTACACTCAACTGTAGAACTTAGTTCTCAAGTCTATGGTTCTTCCCATAGATAGCCTTATAGAGAGGATATTTGTCAGAGTTGTCACGGTTGCCAGGCGGGTTGGCAACCGCAGTTCATCTTTTAGTTGTTACTAGCTGTTCCCGGCGACCTTGCCCGCGTGTATTTAGGGTTTTAATTATATTGATCAGAACCCTAATTCTTTTTCTCAAATAAAAGTAGAATAAGTTACTCCTTGTAACATCAGCTAACTATCAGTGAAAGTTCCGTCGAAACGGTCCAGCCGTTTCGGAGATTAGTCGCAACAAACAGACAGACAGACAAAAATTTTAAAAAGTGTATTTTTGTTATAAGTACCGTTTATACTTTCATATGCATTTAGTAAAACACTGTAATTTTGGCATTACAAACAGACATTTCAATTTTATTTATTTGTATAGATTAAGAACCTGGTTTGTTTCATTCAACCCTGCCCATCACCTGGTTTATTTCCCTCAGTGGCAGCTTACCACATCCATGGCACAATAACGTAAAAAACTTAAAGTCTAAATTAGTTTAAGTTTATTTGTAATTCTAATGTTATGTTTTGTCCACAGGTAAATGAAAAAAATGTGCTTACACTGAAGCCAGTTTAACACACAATATCCAAGATGGCGGCGCGTCCCGCCGCTGTGATCGTGGAACGCGCCTACAAATACTACGGCAAGAAGGACAAGCCCGATTACAAGCCCGTGCTTAATTACCTTAGTATGACTGTCGAGAAAGGAACTATGTAAGTTATCATTTTTATCTTTTGTAGTTTTTATTTGTTACAGTGTACAGGTCGTTACAACTTTTCTAAATTCAAATTTTGCCCCCGCTAATCAACAATTAGGTTTATAGGGATGGCAACGTCATTAATGCGAGTGTACTCGTATATGTGATGTGTTGAAAAGCGTGGTAGCTCAGATAGTTAGCGCTCGCTGTAAATTTCACAGTACGCGGGCAACCCGGGTTCAATCCCGCCGTACCAATGAAATTGTTAATTGCAATTTTAAGTGCTGATTTACTGCGTGCTCGGCAGTGAAGGAAAATATCGTAAGGAAACCTGCATGTCAGAGAAATAAGAAAAAAAAATCCCAGACATGTAAAGTTCGCCAACACGCATTGGGGCAGCGCGGCGGACATTTCCTTGCCCTAAAATGAGGGGAGGCCTGTGCCCAGCAGTAGGAGGTATATAGGCTGTAACTTTATGTGATGTGCAAAGGGTGTAAACGAGCATGCAGTTTTTTACAGGCAATACAGCCGTCTTTGCGATAGGGGTGGACATTTTTAGAAGTCTCTAAGTCATATCAATGCGGAAAATCTGCTGATGACAGTGAATGTGGTCGTGAGGGATAATAAATTTCTAGAAAATCACATGGTGGTGCAATGCCAACCATCAATGTGATGAGGATAGAACTTATTGTCGTACTAAGGCGTATGATGATGAAATTTGTCGATTTTCATTAATCTGAACAATTATTCGGAGCACTGCGTAGTAAAGACTATAAAAAAACAAAGAAGTGCAATGTTTCTTCGCAAGACGAGCTAACAAAGCCTATCAGAACAAAACCGCTTCGCGGCGATCCTAGGTTCAAATCTCAGTAATGTATTTTTTTGTTTTTAGATCTGGTCATGTTGTTATTGTCCCATTATCTGTTATACTGCATCCTAAACTACTTCTGGTCCTATCTTATAAGAGCTACTTCGGGCAAGGGCTGCTACCCGGTAGGTTAGAATGGATAGGCAGAAAATGTGCATTTATTCTATTTGCGCACGCAACTTGTAAAAAACTATGAAATTATATTTTGCGCAGTCCGCGAATTGTCGCTGTGATCGAAATTTGGTCATCATTATCCACTTACTATCTTCAATAGACTTGTTCTTCTTCGTTACCATCGGCCATAACTCCGCTGTTTAACATATTATGCCTCTCCCATTATATGATTTACCTTAATTGTGACGCTTGGCAGGCGGTTTAATGATCGGAATACGAGTACCAGACGTGAGTACCTTTGCAACTGCTCTTCACCGGTCTGGGTAATTAGGCTTGGTTAAAAATATCGATATTTTGTCATAAAACATATCGATTTTATCGCTAATATTCAATATTTATTTTAGAGTATCGAATTGGTGTCAATTTCAATATATTATAAAATGTTGTATTAATCGACAAAACATTAAGCAACAAAAGCAGCTACAAAAGCATTCATGTGCTATTGTTGTATTTTTTTTCTTTTTTCGTCGTCCAACCGTCCAGTAATAAAATGTTAGGCCTTAGCCTACTACGTTATGCAAAACAGGACGATATATCAATATTTATCACGCGATATTTATAGATACTGTTTAAAAATATCGGTACGATGAATATCGATACACTACAGCAGACGTAAAAACGTAAGCTAGATAGTGTACCGCCATCTATACAGCATGTAACTAAACCCCTGTGGTTCCCGTAAAGTACGTCATCAGAATCAGTGTTCAAACTTATTGAAATAACTTTTCTTCACAAAATTCGAGCATACAAATATTAAATTAAATTTAAATAAATTTTTTTGCACATTGTATTTGGTTCTATTACCTCTGTATTGGCTGGGCAGTAATATAGACCCTACGCTACCAATGCTCGTGTTAGTTAGAGGTAATAAAACTGCATAAAAGTTTCAAATAAAAATTTATTTAAATTAAAGTAAATGTATTTATGTTGGAGTTTTCTGAAATAAATTTAGTTCTATACCTTTGAATACCGATTCTGTGAACGCACTTAACGGAAACCACAGAGTTTTTGTTACATGTTATTTATGTGTTTACTCATTTACTTCTAGCACATAAGTCCTTGCAGACAACTTCGTCATGGTAAAAAGTTGACACTGGCCGAAAAAGAATAGAGTCGTATAAGTAGCGGCATGAAAGTCTAGCGGTGACCGTTAGCGCGCATAAGTCAAAAATAAGTTACCATGGGGTAGTAAGCGAGTCGCGGGGCGCATCGTTCGCACGCACTAATTGGCTCTTCAATCGCATTCGTGCAATTCAATTCGTGCGCGACAGTACCCATGCGCAGCTACCGCTCCCCCCCTCACGTTTCCTTCAGCGCTAGACTTACGTGCCGCGACTTATATATATATATATATATATATATATATATATATATATATATATATATATATATATATATACTTAAAGCTCAGTGCGCTCCAGATGATTATACCGCCATTTGTCGCAGGATATGTGATCTTATTGGCATTTCCGACATTAACAAGACGAGACACTTGATGAATTTTCTTAAGTTGCTAACGATGCTAGGTAGTAGTAATCTATGAACTTTTTCTGGAAATTTCCATGATCGCTTCATAAGATACTCAAGTGACAAAGTGGGATGATGGAGTCGCTTATACCGTCACCACACAGCATTTTTTTATAGGAGAGGGGGCAAACGAGCATGCGGCTCACCTAATGGTAAGTGACTACCGCCGCCTATGAACAACTGCAACACCAGGGGAACCAGGGGAATTGCAGATGCGATGGCAGCCTTTTAATAAGGAGTAGGCTCTTTTCTTGAAGGTCCCTAAGACGTATCGGTCCGGAAAAATCGCTGCTGGTAATGGATTCCACAAGGAAGTCGTGCGAGGAAGAAAACATCTTCTCAATCGCACAGTGGTGGACCGCCAATCATCCAGATGGTGTGGATGGTATCGGGAATTCTGCCGCGATGTGCGTTCGTGAAATTTGGCGGCTGGGATTAATCCGAACAATTCCTCAGAGCACTCCCCGTGGTAAATCCGAAAGAAAATGCAAAGAGATGCAACATTTCTTCGCAGTGCCAATGAATCGAGCCGATCGGAAAGCACTCGGTCGTCGACGATTCGAGCCGCTCTGCGCTGGATGCGGTCAAGTGGAAGGAGCTGGCACTTGGAAGACCCTGCCCAGAGATGAGAACAGTATTCCATGTGAGGCCGACCCTGCGCCTTGTAAAGTTGCAGGCGGTGTGCCGGCATGAAATACTGTCCCGCTCTGCTGAGCACGCCAAGCTTTTTAGAGGCCAATTTGGCCTTCTCTTCCAAGTGACCACGAAACTGCACGTCACTCGATATGTCGACTCCGAGGATTCCGATACTGGCTGAGGCAAGAAGAAGAGTGCCTTGAAACTGAGGAGACACGACAAAGGGGTTCTTTTTAGCGGTAAACGCGCAAACTTGTGTCTTCTGAGGATTAAACTGGACTAGATTTAGTCGCCCCCAATCCGAGACTTTGTTCAGCAAAGACTCGACTTCAGACACAAGTTTGTTCCGGTACTCGGCAACGTTTTCCCGAGAAGTATTGGCACGGCCGGTGTATAGAGCATCACCAGTGCTGTCATCCGCATAGCAATTAATGTTACCAGTTAGCAACATATCATTGATATGCAGAAGAAACAGCGTTGGTGATAGCACTCAGCCTTGTGGAACACCAGCGTTAATAGGCTTGTAGTCGGAGTATGCACCGTCTACAACGACCTTGATGCTCCGATCTGCAAGGAAGCTGGTGATCCAATTGCACAATTTCTCGCGAAGCCCATAGGAAGGGAGCTTCGAAAGAAGTGCTTTGTGCCAAACCCGATCGAAGGCCTTCGCAATGTCCAAACTAACGGCCAACGCCTCCCCCTTGGACTCTACTGCCTCCGCCCATCTATGAGTCAGGTAGACCAGAAGATCAGCAGCTGATCGACCTGACGAAAACCGTATTGGCGGTCACTAATCAGCTGGTGATCCTCAAGGTACCTCATGAGCTGGCAGTTAATCATGGATTCCATTATTTTGGAGAACAAGGATGTGATGGCGATAGGCCTGTAGTTGGACGGGTCTGAGCGGTCGCGTTTTTTAGGGATCGGGTGGACAAAAGCTGTCTTCCATGATTTCAGGACTACGCATTGGGAGTACGAGTACCGGAAAAGACATGTTAGGACCGGGGGCAATTCCGGAGCACACGTCCACAGCACAATTGGGGGATTCCGTCAGGCCCACTCGACTTCTGAATGTCCAGGGAGAGAAGTGCTTTGCGAACCGAGCACTGTGAGAAACGCACATCCGGCATGGAGCACTCACACCACGGGATGGTTGGCGGTGTTTTCTCCCATCATCAAGAGTCTAGTTGGACGCAAAAAGGGAGCCTAAAAGGTCGGCTTTGTCTTTTGCGACGTGGGCCAGTGAGTCGTCCTCCCTGTGCAGAGATGGTAGTGATGGCTTACAGAAATTCCCTTGGACAGCCTTGGCGAGAGACCAGAATGTTCCCGAAGGAAGGCGTACTAGTTTCTCGGCAATTCTGCCTCTGTGCTCTGACTTTGCCTTGGCAATAACTCTTTTGAAGGACCTGGAGGCGAAGTTATACTTCTTTTTAAGTATGCTGGTGTTTACATCCCGAATCGCCGAAGCCGCAGCCCAGGTTTGATAACACTCCTGCTTACTGCGTAATGCAGTCTTACAGAAGCGACCAAACCAAGGCTGAGATCTGACTCCGATGGGTACCACAGATGATGGAATAAATAGTTCCGTTCCCTGTAGCACCACATCTGTGACAGAGTCAGCAACAGCGCTGGGATCATCCGGCGAGAAGCAAAATTGAAAGTTACAGACTATTCGTTTCATATCTATACACAGGCCTCCTCTCACTTCTTAAAGGGTTTTAGGGCAAGGAAATGATTGCCGCGCTGCCCCAATACGTATTGGCGGACGGAATATGGATGTCTTAGAAATATTTTTTCTCAGCCATGCAGGATTCCTCGCGATGTTTTCCTTCACCGCAGCACGTGGTAAATCAGCACTTAAAATTGCAATTAACAATTTCATTGGCGCCGGCGGGAATCGAACCCGGGTTGCTGTATTAGTTATGAACAATACTGGATATTTTTGTAGGCAAAAGGCAATGAATGTTTAATCATCTCATTGATAGGTGTTAAAAATTACATAAACAATGTTATATCACCCAGGTTGTGTTAGTGAACCTGATTGCATAACTCGTGTAATTTAAATATAATACTTTATCATCATCATCATTACAGCCCTTCATAAGTCCACTGCTGTACATAGGTCTCCCCCAAGGAATGCCACAAAGCACGGTCCTGAGCCACTTGCATCCATCGACTTCCTGCATGTCTTACCAGGTCGTCACTCGTCATAATACTTTATATTGGGTATAAATTATCATACTGTGGTACTACCCGCGGTATAGTGCCAAGAACGCTGACAATACTCAACATTTGAGTAAGAAAAGAATTAGCGCCTACAACCAGTCACTCATTTATAGCATAAGGGTGATGAACGAGCATACATTCCACCTGATGGTAAGTGGATGCTGTGGCCCATAGACATTAAAAAGGCAGATGCATTGCCACCCGTGAGGACTAAGAAGATGAAATGCCACGTTTTCAGTAAAAAGAGTCTCCTGTTCTTTACAATCGCCATATGAAACAGCAGTATTAAGCTGTTTTTTAACGTTGGGCTAGCCGACCCATTCGTGCTACAACCATAATATAGTTGCAGCGTGGCTCTACCACGCACATATAATGTAAAAATAGCGATCTTGATAGTTTTTACTCGGCAGAAAGTACAAATCCCGTAGCAAACAACAGTTTTCAACAGCTATTGTCTATAAACTTTCTGAAAGTTAACGTGATTCACATTAACGCTGAAATCATTCCAGCTCACTTTTATATGCGACCTCTGTTTTCAACAATATTCATACTATTCTTATTTATGTGTCACTAAAGCCATACATACATCCTCAATTATAGTTATCCTTTGTCTAGTTTCCAACTGATTTGCAACTATCGCGTACACGGTAGTGGCGGAGGTTGTGCGATATATATCCGAAGGAATACTGCATTCTATATTTTAAATATGTCAGCTCAACCACAAACATTAAGAAAACTAATGGCCTTTATTGAAAGCAACTGGATCACATTGAAGTCTTGCTTGAAAGGTATTAATGTCCTTTTTGTTGGGACGGATGAATAGGTAGTGATATAGTGGAGATTCAGCGAAAATCTCAAATTTTCTTAGAGAATTTAGGATTGGAAAATCACGCCAACTTATCACCAAAATTTTAAACATTGATTAGGTTCACTTCTCCTTCGGCTTATTTTGATAGGTGTATTTAAATAAATACCTTTAATTACCTTTTATCTCTTCCAACAATTGATTATTCATTTTTTATTTTAAATCTGTGGCAGCGCTGTCGCCGCGCCACAAGCGAAACACATCGAAGCCTAAATCGCGCTAACAAAGTTCCGAAATTAAAGCAATATATATAGAATAGCACCGAACTACCACTCGGAGCGTTGGCCGCTCCCCGGGCAGAACACCTTGCCCGGCGGGAGATCTCCCCTTTTCCTTCCACCGCCACAAATCAATTCTCTTCTTATTTTTTTAATTAGAATAAAGATTACAAACGAGCACTCAGTCCTCCTGATGGTAAGTTGATGCTGCGGTCCAATATACATCTACATCCATCATCAGCCGTGAGGACCAAGATGGAATGCCTCGTTTCTAGTAAAAAGGGTCTCCGATTAGAGAGAGTGTAGAGACACTCACCATACGAAACACAGCAGCATTAAGCTGCTTTTTTAACTGCCGTGAAATGGGAAGAGGCTCTCGATTAGAGTGTATGTTTTTTCGTATGCATGTTACACGATATCTTCGCAGATTGTGAACCAATTTTGATGATTCTTTTTTTTATTAAATAGGTTATAGGTATTACACTTCAAGGGTGATTCCATATTAATTTGGAGAAATAACTTCACCCCTAATGGTAGCAAATATAAAACTTATTCTTTGCTAAAAAATAAGTTTTTTATTTGCAATTTGTTTTTACTTTTTGTTAAAAGTTATAATTATTACACTGGTATTCTGTGGGAGCGTGGTCTTACCCCGGTCAACCAACACACTCGTGTTTCAACTACAATATACGATTATGTATAACTGCAGCGTGGCTCTACCACAAATAGAGCCACCCTGATGACGGATGAATAGAATCTTTTGACGTTTAGAATAGAATTATATTAAGAACTTAGTAATGTTATTCATTTCAATTCTTTATACTTGAACTCAGTTCATCTATTACTAATAGTGTGGTAATAATCTTATTGTATAGTTGGAAGAAATAAATACAACATAAACATAACAGTAAAAACTAATAATGTTAGTCTCTCATATTTTGCGGATAATGGTATCAGAAATCTTGCAAAACAATTCCAAATTATACAGGGTTATTTTTCATAGAGTAGCTAAATTTTAAACTTAAGTTCAAATATATAAATAATGATATACCGTTGATGATGCAGTTTTTGAAAATACGAGTAAATAAGGCTTCCACTTTTATTTGAAATTATCCCAAATTGAATGTGATTTATGGGCAACAACGTTTTTGCCTACCGATCGACCCTTACAAATGTGTGCGTGCGCAGTCAAATCAGTTAAAATAATGCATTACCACGCATTTTGAATATAAAAGATAAAAAGGACAGAATGTTTGAGATTTTTCTTCACCGTTTACCTATATTAGTGGTTCTGAACATTCTGTGGAAATTTGTCCGGTGATTGTAAAACAACCTTATATAGTAATATAGGAAATATGTTTATATTAACCTTCAAAATATTAAATCTCTGACAATGCTCACTGTTACTAAGTTCAACCTACCGTTGCATATTGTATATAATATAGTAATTTAATTAAGAATGTTTTTTTTTAATTATAACACTGATATAACTTAAACGCGTTAGCCTTGCCTACAGTAAAAGCCACCTTGAAAAGCATTATATCATAGTAAGCTTTATAAGCGTCCGATCACTAGATGGAGTGACGACCTGGTAAGATATGCAGGAAGTCTACGAATGCAGGTGGCTCAGGACCGTGCTTTGTGGCATTTCTTGGGGGAGGCCTATGTTCAGCAGTGGACTTGTAAAGGGCTGTAATGATAATGATGATGAAATAAATATATATATTTCATCATCATTATCATATTAATGTAATAAAGATATATATATATATATATATATATATATATATATATATATATATATATATATATATATATATATAACCTTATTAGGCATTATTGTGCGTCTACAACTTTACATACATTGATTTTAAACACAGATTATTATCAGTCCGTTATTATTTTTATATTTTCCCATGTTCTTGTCTTCTCCTTTTACATCCGCCAGCAAAATTTCCGTAGATCCTAAGGGATCCCATGAAGGATTTTTCATACTTACTACCAGATTGGCGATTACAGTACCAGATGTTTCGTACTTTTGACTCCGCTGCTGTCGCTGGTGTGGGTATTTTACGTCTGGCCTATTTAACATCATAAGATTTTTTGGATTCCCATAGTCGTATCTTACTCAAAAATTCTATAATAAAATATAAAAAATTATAAGAGTTCCTCGCATGAAAGTACTTGTATGGTATTCTAAAAATGTTTTGTTGCAAAAATGTCTTCTTTTTAAAAATCTTGCATATTTTTTATATAAGTTTTAATGCAAAAATCAATTCTGACTTTAAACAATGTAATACATTTGGAATCAATTATAGGTACAAAGCACTGAACTTGATAAATATGGTCGGATAACGGTTTATCAGTCAATGCTGATAAAACTGACGGTTAGTCAAACTAGTAATATTGAAGCTGAAAGAAGTACCATTCCCCACTGAAGCGGCGTAACAATCGACCATAAATTAACGTGGCACTCTCACATTATTTTATAGGATAAGGGTGACAAACGAGCACACAGTCCACCTGATGGTAAGTGGATGCTGGGGCCCATACACATTTACATTAATCCTCAACTAAAAATCAACATGCAGATGCGTTGTCGTCCATGAGGACTAAGATGGAATGCCTGGTTTGCAGTGAAAAGGGTATCCGGTGCTCTATACTCACCATACGAAATACAGCAAGCTGCTGTTTTACGCTGGTATTCTGTGAGAGCGTGATCCTACCTCAGTCGAGCCGAGCCATTCTGTGCTACAACTAATACAGCTGCAACGTGGCTTTACCACGTGTGAAATCTCATAAATGTCATAGGAGGCGACTGTGATATTGTTTTAGTAGGTAGGTAGCCACTAATGATATTCCTGCTAACCACCCCAAATAGGCTAAAATTCTTAAGCTGGAAGTGGTTCACCACAGCAGTTAAAAATCAGATAGGCAGGCTTAACATATTGTTTGCTGGAAATGTCAGAAAAGTCTAATTTCTTCCGATAGATTGGTATAATGGCATGCTGCAATATTTTTGTTACTGTGACCATAATACTATATTATGACAGAGTTTATGTCTAGCAGTGAACACCTACGAGCTGATGATAAAGAGTAAGAAGTGGAAGAAATAAAATAACAACATGATTATAAAATTCCTTGTCCTTCACAGATATGGCCTATTGGGTGCCTCAGGATGCGGAAAAACTACGCTACTCTCCTGCATAGTTGGAAGACGAAAGCTAGATGGGGGGAGTATATGGGTTTTGGGGGGTAAACCTGGTGAAAAAGGAAGCGGTGTTCCAGGGCCTAGGGTCGGGTATATGCCACAGGTATGGATTATCGTTTATTTTGCGTATAATAATTATGATATATCGTGCTTAGAAACTATAATTTGTGACCTTAAATGTGTTATGGTGACTTTCGATAGTCAGCGGATCTGGTCTAGATTTTCGTCTAGGTTTCTAAGTTTAATAGAACATGGGGCATTCACCTTCAACCGTCCTTGCCGAGCCGTCCTTGCTTTGACGATTGATGAAATCAGTACTGCCGAATGTTTATCCGTACGCTATAAGTTCACTAGGACCGATACAATTAATTTTCAAAGGTTATATAATGAGAAATTCGGGAAATAGTTAAAACATAGAGAGAGATGTTGCGCTACCACCGATCCACCGATGAATAGAATGGTGGGGGCGAATGACATTAAGCGAACTGGAATGTATGATAGTTCTTCTCGATGAGATGAAACTGTATAAGAAGGGTTATTATAGTATAAATGAATATATGGTTGATAATAACCCCTGGGAATGAGGTGGTCGCTTGCAAGCTCTTTTAAAAATAAATTTTGTACGAACCATTAATGTAAAATATGCTTTAAAAAAAGTCCCGCTGGGTTTCTTGCTGGTTCTTCCCAGGACAGAGGTTTCTTTTCGAACCAGTGGTAAAGTAAAAAATGACTTTCAATAAGAATTACACATGTGATCTATATCGAGCGGAACCAAGGCTCCAAAGTCTTTGCCAGAGATCTGTCTGCCAGAAAGAGCCACCTGTCACAGCTGAAGACAGAATGTGGCAGCATCGTTTCCGGGACACCTGAGATTTTGAGTGAGATTGAGAGGTTCTATGGGCAGCTGTACACGTCATCGTTGGAGCCACACGCAAGTGTGAGTAACGATCCAAGAGCGAGTCTCATCCGACACTATTCCGAAGATATCCCGGACGTCAGTCTGAGCGAGATTAGAATGGCTCTCCAGCACCTTAAAAACGGTAAGGCCCCAGGCGAGGATGGATTTACAGCGGAGCTTCTGAAAGCGGATGGAAGACCGGTACTTGAAGTCCTTCAGAAGCTCTTTAATTCCGTCCTCCATGGTGGCATTACACCGGAGGCGTGGAGTAGAAGTGCGGTGGTCTTGTTCTTCAAGAAAGGTGACAACGCTCTCTTGAAGAACTACAGACCGATTTCCCTTCTGAGCCGCGTCTACGTGCTGTTTTCTAGAGTCATTACGAATCGTCTCGCGCGCAGACTTGACGACTTCCAGCCTCCCGAACAAGCCGGTTTCCGAAAGGGCTTTAGCACCATAGACCACATACATACCCTTCGGCAAATTGTACAGAAGTCCGAAGAGTACAATTTGCCACTATGTCTGGCGTATGTGGACTATGAGAAAGCCTTTCATTCCGTCGATTTGGGCGGTGCTGCAGTCCCTTCAGCGGTGCCTAGTTGACTGTCGGTATATCGAAGTGTTGAAGTGCTTGTACAGTAGGGCTACGATGGCTATCCGAGTACAGAACCAGAGTACGAAACCTATCCAATTGCAGAGAGGTGTAAGACAGGGTGACGTCATATCCCCGAAACTCTTCACCGCTGCATTGGAAGACGTTTTCAAGCTTCTGGACTGGAAAGGATACGGTATCAACATCAATGGCGAGTACATCACTCACCTTCGATTTGCCGACGATATAGTCCTTATGGCAGAATCGCTGGAGGACCTAAGCACTATGCTCAATGACCTCGATAGTGTTTCCCAACGGATAGGTCTTAAGATGAACATGGACAAAACAAAGATCATGTTCAATGTCCATGTCACACCTATGCCGGTAGTTGTTGGGAGCACTAAGCTCGAAGTTGTTGACGAATATGTTTACCTGGGACAAATAGTCCGACTAGGTAAGTCCAACTTCGACCGAGAGGTCAATCGACGGATTCAACTCGGCTGGGCAGCGTTCGGGAAGCTACGACACATCTTCTCGTCAGACATACCTCAAAACCTGAAAACGAAATTGTACAACCAGTGCGTGTTGCCAGTGATGACTTATGGAACTGAGACGTGGTCCTTCACTGCTGGCCGTATGAGGAAGCTCAAGATCGCTCAGCGAGCTATGGAGAGGGCTATGCTCGGAGTTTCTTTGCGTGATAAACTTAGGAATGAGGATATCCGCAGTAGAACCAGAGTAACCGACATAGCCCAACGGATTAGTAAGCTGAAGTGGCAGTGGGCCGGCCATATAGCTCGAAGAACCGACAACCGATGGGGAAGAAAGGTTCTCGAGTGGTAGCCTCGTACCGGTAGGCGAAGTGTAGGGCGTCCCCCCACGAGATGGAGTGATGACCTGGTAAGACATGCAGGAAGTCGATGGATGCAGGTGGCTCAGGACTGTGCTTTGTGGGATTCTTTGGGGGAGGCCTATGTTCAGCAGTGGACTTGTGAAGGGCTGTAATGATGATGATGATGATGATGTGATCTATATTGAATAAAAAATTATTCTATTCTATTCTATTCTTGATCAATTCGAGTAGTCGAAGGCGTTCGTGCACAAGACCATAAAACCAGCCGAAAGAACTTGATTGAAACCGATTTTGTTAGTCTCGAGCTAGAGTAGAAAGTACCAACCTCTCCGTATTCTGTAGGCTACATTTTAAAAGTGTCGGGCATCACCCATCCATTACAGCCTATTAAAGGCCACCTTTGAACATACAACCTACCTAAAGATTGCCTCATGAGAGGGATATTTGCCATAGTTGCCACATTTTTACGTGGCAGAGCCATGCTGCAGCTATATTATTAGTATAGTTGTAGCACGAAAGGGTCGGCTCGACCGAGGAGGATTACGCTCTCACAGAATACCAACGTAAAATAGCAGTTTAATGCAGCTGTGTTTCGTATGGTGAGTGTGGAGAACCGGAGACCTATTTTACTGGAAAAGGGGCATTCTATCTTAGTCCTCACGTCTGACAACGCATCTGCATTTTAATTCTCAAACGAAGATAAATGTCTATGCGCCACAGCAACCACTTACCATCAGGTGGACTGTGTGCTCGTTTGTCACCCTTATCCTATAAAAAAAATTTGCAGGTGGGGTGGCAATCGCGATCGTTATTTTCTACTTCTTATTAAAAAGACGCTACTGCCCAAATCCTGGTTTGTTTCGCTCTGTTGCCCTTTAGGACACCCACGGGACGTTATGGGGTAGTGGATATTCTTACACAGCAACTCGACAGTCGATTAGTATGCGCAGGAAACAAGAATTAATTCCTCTCTCGCAACAAGATGTTCAGCAAGCCTACGAGTACACCACATTTTATCGACATTATGGCATCAACATACCAGACATTGGAACCAAACGGCCTGTTTTGTAATTTATAATGCTACAACAAAAGTTTGCGGGGTTCAATAATCCGTGATACGGGGTGTTTTTAGTTTACGACCCGTTTCCCTTTTTCGGATAGTGGTTTAAGCCGAGGTTCATACCTCCTTCTGGGGGGCCTTAAATTACTTTACTTAAGCTTTAGCTTGAGGAGCCTCACTCCAACAGCAGGGGCTGGAGTGTTTAGGGCTGCAGTTGGCGGACAGAATCGACTATTTCGACGAACTTGTAAAAGCCGCAGGGCCAAGAACAAACACTTTCAGAAAAACTAAACGACTTTTTTTCTACAAAGTGGATTGTAATTGGATAGAAAATGGTTGAAGGACAGACCTATTTCTAATTTGCAGAGTTATTTTTCTAATTTATAAATTGAACATTTGAAACAATATAAAATTAAAAATTACACTTTGAGGACAACATTTGAATTAATTAATAAGACTACCTAAGTCTTAAGCTTTACTAACGCGTAATAATAACCCACCTTTATAATGTATGTAATAAAAACTTGCATAAATTATTCTCGCGATTATTATGATAAAACTTGTGTGTAGATATCTATCGAGGTAAAACTGAATAAATAATTAAAAAAAATTAAAGTGACCGCCTTTGGATTTGGTACAGGCTTTTCATTTCTGTGAATACGAATCTATAAAAAATTCTTGAAAATGTCATTGTTGGAGCGCAAGTCGGTCTTCAGCTGTTATGAATTTTGGAACATTGTCCGTGAGCCAGGTCTTTTGTGTGTTCTATTTATACGTGTATATATGTATGGGAGTAGCAAGAGTATTGATCAATCCACTCTTTTAAGATGCAAGGGCTGATTTAGAACATATCCTTTGTATCGACATTCGACAGTAATCACCTAGCTTCAGATCTTATTAAACAATTCGTGACTGGGACCTAGCGGGAATCTTGTCTAGTCCGATCTAATCCTAACAGCACAATATCGCCCCGATTTTTTGTCGTCTTTGACAGACCAATTGTTGACGTTGTGAGGACAAAGGACTGTTGTTAATGACGGGTAATAGAGAAGAATGGAAGAGAAGGACATGCTATGGCGATCACAAATAACCCGGGACAGGAAGATAAGGAAAGATAAGAATAAAGAGGAATTGTTGGTGTATCACACTATCGACATACGATACGACACGATATACGCTTTTGAAGCGTCGTTAAAAATTCTTTCTTTTCTTTTTTTTTCTTTTTGTTATAAAAAAGTTACCTCCACACTAGGATTTTACCCTGTATCGTAGAGGCAGTTTACAAACATAAATTGCACAAGGACAAATATCCAGACCCGGAACAATTATTTGTAGGCCATACAAATACTTGTTCCGTGCGGGATTCGAACCCGCGGCCCCCAGCGTTGTAGCTCATTGCTAAGCCACTTCGCCACGGAGCCGTCAAAAAATGACTGACTGCTCTGACTGATTGATTCTTCTAATGATTCTGTTTTCTTAACACACCACTCCATAAAGGAATTTCATAATCACGCTGAAAACAATATGGGAAAAGGCGGCATATCGATCGAATTTTCTTAGATTTCCTACATCATAATATTAAACATTCATTCTAAATACAAATTTAAATAAAATGGAATATCAAAATTAATTTAATCTATGGTCAGACTAGTTATATACATTGAATATGCCGTAATGCGGAACCGGTCGGTTTATACAGTAAATCAATAATAATTTAAAATTAAAATTTTGTACAACCAACTTCAATATAAATTATTAAGAATAACTCAATAACTATTGGTAAAACCTTGATCAATTTATATTGGACCACATGTGAAGCACCAGCTTTCAAATAAAAAAAGAATCATTGAAATCGGTTCACCCAGTAAAAAGTTATGAGGTAACACATAAAAAAATAAATAAAAAACATACAGTCGAATCGATTGTCTCCTTTTTGAAGTCGGTAGAAAATGGCGATGTTGCGGGCCGCGGATACCAATCCCACGTATTATTATTATTTGTATAGTCTAAGGTGGGTCCGCCTAAAAAGGGCCGGTTACAAATAAGGTCCAGCTCTTCAAACTTATCGGAATTAATACTTAAACCAAAATGGATATCGCGCTGTTACTCCCCAGTAACCAATTACAAAAGTGCAGCGGCATTCATTGCTTTCTCGGTGGCCATTTTTTCAGTGGCTCTGGGTATAACTTCAGGGGCGGTCGTCGTGACTCAATCTATAAAATATTCTGATCCAATTTTGCGTTGTTTTAGTAATAAAACCCGGTCGTTGTGTAATAATTCTGCAATAGTAATGTTAAAGTACTTAGTAGAAGGTGGATTGACGAGGTAAGTTACCAAAATTATTGCTTTTTTATCACGATTTTGTTAGGTTTTTTCAGGACAGATCTAAGTGCTTAACAAGGTCCACTTTTTGTCTCAAAATAAGGGTCGGACCTTATTAGGGGCAAGAAGCTTTAAAATAGGCGTGATCAGTTACTTAAATGAATTATATAACTGTAAATAAGCAGTTGGCCTGGCAAGTGGCACTTTTGTGCGGTGATAACGACAGATCACCACGCTAGGCCATAGCTATCGCACAAAAATGCCACATGTCTAGACACCTTTCCTTCCTTGCACTACAACTAATATTGAAAAAAATAATCCAGACGCTTTCGAGTTTTATACTTAGCAACACATTTACCCATTCGTTTTTACGTAGTTTTATAAGATTTTATTTACGCAAATCAACAATAGCTTTTGACATAAGTACTGTCCATACATAATATAAGTATATTGTTTCCAGTAAAGACAAAAATGGAACTATCGCAAAAAAGAAAACGATTCTCAGGATGGTCTCTAACTGATCTTCAGGATGCTCTAGACGATATGAAAAAACAGCCTAATGTCTAAGCATAACGGCGAACGTTGAAAAATCACATAAAATCTGGAAGCGTGGTGAAGAAAATGAGAAGGAAAGCTGTTTTTACCGACACACAGGAAAAGGAATCGGTAGAGAGAATTAAGAAGTTTTCAAATATTACCTTTGCTTGATACCTTTAACACCAAGTAAAACGTAAACAAATTTTGTGGAAAAAACAACATAAAAAATCCTTTTAGTGACAAAAAATCTACTATGATTACAGAAGTATAATACCTAATAAGGTCCAAGTACTAAGATTGAAAAAATGACTTATTATTAACATTTTGTGATTTTCTTTACTAGAGTTAATAAAAATCTGCACACAACTACAATTTGTTTCATTTATAACTATAAAATAGATTAGTTACATATAACTTATATTAATTTCCTAATACTTTATAAGGGCCACAACACTAATTCATATGCATTTCCGTTTCATTATGCAAAAGCCACGAATTTAATAGTAGTTTAAATCCATTGCTTTATAAAGTGTGATTTTTCTGGTATATAACGCCTAAAATCTTGCAGTTCAATTATGGACCTTATTTAGAGCCCTAGTGCCGTATAGGGGCCATAGACAATCCTTTAAAAAACTTATTTTGTAAGTACCTCGACCTTGATACCTTGTTTATGCATAATATTTTCTCTTCAAATATAAACAGTTTATTTGATCATGATGTTTTACAAATTAAAAGACTTCACAAAATTGATTTATAAGGATTTCCAAAAACCCGGCCCTTATTAGATGCAATTACCTTACAAAAAATTGTTCCTGGTCTGAACTACTTATTTTTTCGTGTGTAATTTAGGTATATGTTAAACGCCTCCATGGTGCAACGGAAATGTATCATCATCATCATCATTACAGCCCTTCACAAGTCCACTGCTGAACATAGGCCTCCCTCAAGGAATGCCACAAAGCACGATTCTGAGCCACCTGCATGTGTGTCGAATAACGCTTATTTAAAAAAAAATGTGTGCGTTAGAAGACGTAACATTGTCTGCATTCACACGGGCTCCAGAACGCATGCGGAGCTAAGTCTTCCATACAGTTTTACATATTAGGCCCGCCGCACGAATGGATCGGTCACATTCATTCGGAATCCCGTTTAGCTCGCAAAATTTCGAACGGTAAACTACTGTACGTGTGTGACGGATCATTGATTTTATATGGACTGCCTGCGTTCGGAATCCTGAATCAGAATTCCGAAATGGAATCCCAAAACGGAATTCCGAATCTATGTGGCGGTCCTTACAAAGTAATACCGAAATGCGTATGTCATGCACACGCATTTGTGTACTCCGGCCTCTATCATATCAACAATTTAAAAATATATGTTCCTTTTATCCTTTGCCTACAGGACATTGCGCTAGTAGCGGAGTTTTCAGTTCGAGACGCCGTGTACTACTTTGGTCGGATTTACGGGATGCCGATGCAGAAGCTTGTCGAACGATTCGAGTTTTTGACGAATTTGTTGGACCTGCCCAGCGGTGGACGTCTGATAAAGTCACTTTCCGGCGGCCAACAGAGGAGGGTGTCGCTAGCAGCCGCGCTAGTTCATGATCCCGAGCTGCTCATCCTGGATGAACCTACTGTGGGACTGGACCCAGTTTTAAGAGAACGGTGAGTAAGTTTGTATTTTTAGTGTATTACCAGTGCAGGCAATGTTCATTGCTCGCTGCTTTTTCTAGCGTTCAGTGTCCAAACTAGGAAACCTAAAATCACCTGCTGTCACCTTCTGTATGTCAGTCTCTTACATAACCATTGTCAGAAACTATTTCACGTAGATTCGGCATTAAAAGGCAATGAACCAGGCTTTAGTTTTGAAGTTTAAAATGAATGGTTACACAATATTATTTTTTGGAACAGCTACTGGAGTGTCAATTAAAAGCTAGAAGCTTAATTATAATTTTAGAAATATTAATTATAATTTTAGTTATTATTATTAATTCTTTTTTCTAATTTAATATTATTAATTCAAGAATGTATTATTATAAATGTATATATAAAATCGCATAAATGAATGATAAGATATTATAATTTATAAGTGGTAGAACCACGCTGAAGCTATATTATGGTTGTAGCTCGAATGGGTCGGCTCGACCGGGAAAGGAGTGCTTTGTTCTCTTAAGAGGTAGAAACATGCTACAGCTATATTGTAGTTGTAGCATGAACGGGTCGTTTCGGCCAGCTTTAGTTACCGCCCTCTCACAAAATACCAGCGTAAAATAGTAGCTTAATGCTGCTGTGTTTCACATAGTGAATATTGAGAACCGGATATCCTTTTTACTGGCAACGAGGCATTCCATCTTAATCCTCAGGGGTGACAATGCATCTGTATTTGGGTTGTTAATCGAGTGTAGATGTATATGTCATATCCATTTCATCGCATCAGGTGGGCTGTATTTTCGCTTGTCACACGTATTCGATAAAAAAAATGGTTCTTGAAGCAAAATCATCAAAAGTCAATTATTTTTAGTCTTCTTCTTTTTAAAACTTTTTTGGAAATTTAAAAATCGCTGTCACCAAAAAACCACGGTTGCCAACCATGCCGCGAGTGGCAACTATGGAAAATATGCCCCCTATGAAACAATCTACAGTGGAGATCTATGATCACCAGTGGACTTAACTGTTATGGATGGAATAGAAGTACTGCATTATATACTTCACTGATTTTTATATTTTTATAGATTTTTTTAGCAAAGGAACATAATCAGAATTATTGAGTGTCATGTTATGTAATACGAAACGAGTAGTGGCGGTGTAAGAATATCCACTATCCCGTATCATCATGTAGGTGTCGTAAGAGGCGACAGAGGGAAACAAATCAGGAGATGGGCAGCAGCATCTTCCCAATGACGAATAAAAAAAAACTGCGGTTGCCAACCCGCTTGCCAAGCGTGGCAACTTAGGCAAATATTCACCTTACGATGAAATATATGGGGGAGGCCTATGTTCTGCAGTGGACTTTAATAGGCTGTAGCGGTAACGGAACAACGGGTATTTCAGCAGTTACATTAAAATCAGTACGCGTATTAAAATTAAAACCGCTTGTAATGTTTCAAATTGTTTATCAACATCTCTATAAGGGCGTTACCACACCAATCGATCGATTTTTGATCGATGACATCGAGCGATGGTTGAATGGATTAGTCGACGTCGATCGGTAGTTTCTATCACACCGATCGATCGATAGCATCGATCGATGGTAGAACGGATTAGTCGACGTCGATCAAGCTGCTTGATTATTGGAAAACCCACCCCGCTCCACCCTCAGCTCCCTATTTTCACCCGATTTAATATTTTATAAATTGATTTTCTGTAATTAGTAGATATTTAGATATATTAGCATTTATCTCAAAATGTAAATAGATCTAGGTTTTATATATCGCACGTTTTAAAACAGTGCGTTTTACATATTAGCAAGAAAATCGTGACTGACCGATTATTATACAACGCAACTTTACCTGTCCGTCGGCCTTGAAATATTTTAACCGACTTCAAAAATAGGAGGTTCTCAATTCGAGTGCATGTTTTTTATTGTATGTATGTTACGCGATATCGTCGCAAAATGTGAAACAATTTTGATGATTCTTCTTTTTATTAAATAAGGTTATACTTCAAGGTTGATCCCATATAAATTTGGAGAGAAAATTTCACCCCTGAGGGTAGAAAATAAATAACATATTTTTGAGCAATTTGAATTCGGTTTTTACTTTTTGTTAAAAGTTATAATTATATCTTTTCTAAGGTCGCATAGAGTTGTTTAACTGTACTACATAATTTAGTAAAGAAAGAGAGACATTTAGTAAAGTAAAGTTACAGCCTGTATACTTCCCACGGCTGGGTACAGGTCTCCTCTCATTTCTGAGAGGGTTTTAGCGCAAGGAAGGTGCTTTTCATACTATGTAAGATACATCATTTTAGTTCTTTGAGCGGATGTAGGCAAAGTAATTTTTACCAACTTTATTAAATGGATTTCCACAAAATAACACATGACTTTATTAAGTATTGTCTTTGAGTTTAAAGTGAGATTATTATTTTTAATTATTTATTTAGCCATGCGCGTCGCGGAAATTTACTTGTTTCTTTACGTTGTGCTTGTGTCGCATGACGCTGGCGTCGATTACCTTTGTAAGAAGCGTTGTGTTCCTTTCTTCTTGGGATGAAGATGGAAAATTAAGGAAATTAATAGGATATGAGTATATGGAAATATATATACATTGATTCAGGATCTTGATATTAAGGAGATATACACCATTTGAATATAAAGATGTACATCGTAGCGTTTTCGCGTCAATAGTATTACTTAATATTTTAGTATTGTGCTATAGTTTCATTAGCTTTAGTACATCATCATCATTACAGCATTTCAAAGTCTACTGCTGAACCTAGACCTCCCCATATATGTGGGATATTTGCCATTGTTGCCTCTCTTGATAGGTGGGTTGGCGCAAATGCAGTTACGACACCGTTTTTTTTTTTTCAATTTTCTGGTTGTCATTATGGACACGCAGCTGTCCATCGCCTGGTTTATTTCCCTCTGTCGCCAGTTGTGGGTATTCTCACATCACCATTATCAAAGTATAAAACATATTTGAATCGACAGTAACCTAATCGCAGGGTGCGAACCGCGAACACAAACTAATACGAAGACCGACTAATGTCTTGGACCACTTCAAACACGAGCATTTTAAGTTTACCAGGGGTGATTAAAGAGAGTATTAGTCACAGTAACAGTATTCAACATTACTAATATTACCTTTAGCTAGTTTTTATTTTTTTAACGAAAAAAAATGTGCTTTAACAAAAACTAGCCTCATTAACAAACTTATTACAGCTTATCAAAAATCCACTGCTGATCATAGGCCAAGGCCTATGTTCAGCAGTGGACAATTTCCATAATTGGCACACTTGACAGATGGATTGACAGTTGTTGACAGCAGTTCTTTATATTTTTCAGTTGTTATCAGGCAAATGCTATTGCTTATATTCCTGTTTTGTTTTGTCGCCTTTTTCAACATCCACGGGATTATATTAATAGAGAATATTCTTACGCCATCACTACTACTAAAAAACTGCATATGTAAAATGAACACGAAATGTTGCTAACAGAAGTATAATATCAGAATTTAAAAACGTTTTATACCGAGGTTTTAAGGAGCATAGCGCTCAATCGCTTGTTACAAATCTATGGCATTACATTTTTTTATAGAATAAGGGTGACAAACGAACACACAGTTCACTTGGTGGTAAGTGGATACTGTGGTCCATAGACATCTACATCTACCCTCGGTTATGAATCAAAATGCATATGCCTTATCACCCCTGACGGTTAAGATGAAATGCCTCATTTCCAGTGAAAAGGGGTCTCCGGTTCTCTACACTTACCATACGAAACACAGCAGCATTAAGCTGTTATTTTACGCTGGTATTCTGTGAGAGCGTGGTAACTAAACCTGGTCGGAACGACCCATTCATACTACAACTACAATATAGCTGTTGCGTGTTTCTACCTCTTAAGAGAAACAAAGCACTCGCTCATCTATTATCTCAGTCACATGTGATAACGAGATATAAAACGGGATCACAGAAGTTTGGATGCACATTATTGAGTCTAGCTATCATATTCGTAAACCTAGGTCGTAACCTTTCTTATATTTATTAGAGTATTTACTCCTTAAGAATCGATTTTCGTGTATTACCCGTGTTACATTAACTAGTTGGGAAACGCAATCAAGTGTTAACAAAAAGTGAATTCGTCATGTAGCTCCTCCACGTATCACATTTACGCTATCTAAATCTTCTTATGCTTAAGTATATAAAGTATGCTAAAGTGGCAATCCGCCCCGGCTTCACATCTAACATAAAATTTTACAAAAATCAGTCGTGCCGTTTCGGTGAAGTTCAAAATATACAAAATATTACAAAAGCACAATTCTTTTTTCTATAGTATAAGGGTGACAAACGAGCACAGTCCACCTGATGGTAAGTGGTTGCTGCGGCCCATAGACATCTACACCTATCCTCTCTATTACAAATCAAAATGCAGATGCGCTGTCACCCATGAGGACTAAGATGTAATGCCTCATTTCCAGTGATAGGGGTCTCCGGTTCTCTACACTCACCATACGAAACACAGCAGCGTTAAGCTGCTATTTTACGCTGGTATTCTGCGAGAGCGTGGTCCTTCCCCGGTCGAGCCGACCCATTCGTCCTACAACTATACTACTAATATAGCTGCAGCATGGCTCTACCACGTAAAAAACAATACAAAAGAATTAAATATATAATTATATACATAAACCTTTCTCTTGAATCATTCTGTCTATTGATAAACCGCATCAAAATCCGTTGCGTAGTTTAAAAGATCTAAGCGTATAGATGGCGGGAAGCGACTTTGTTTTATACTATGTAGATGTACCTACTAGTAGAAGAGACGCGTGCAAAATTCGATAAAGGTTGAATTTATTTAACATTTCAAAGTTCTTAATTTTAAAAAAAATACAAAATTTTTAATATCTAAATATATTAGTTGATTTTTAAACACAAAGGTACTAAATTGATATTGTTATGTATATGTTAGTTTCAACGAGTTGAACGATTTCTTATCTTCAACATAA